CTGTGTGCTCTTTTTCTCCTCAGCTGTGGTGTCTATGTTTACTTTCCCCGTTGTATATGACAAGTACCAGGTAAGTCTGCCTACACGGTGTGGTTTGGGTGTCTGGGTGGTTCTGCCTTGTCAATGCTTGATTGACTTGGTCTCATTTTGCTCTTTGCAGGCACAGATTGATCAATACTTGGGACTGGTGCGGACCCACATAAACACTGTTGTGGCAAAGTGAGTTCAGCAGCAGACTTGACCAGAAGTCTTGCTGTGAGGTTGCGGTGCACTGGGGGGTGGCTAAAAGCTGGGTGGTCCCGGGGACAACATGCCCTATGGATGATGTTCTCCCCAGCTCCTGGCATGCAGGAGCCTGCAGGTGGGCAGATCCCTGGAGGAACACAGTCCTTCTCAGCTGGGTGTAGACTGAGGCAGAGCTGTGACCCTACATCCTTCCCTCTCCTGCCGTTTGGGGGAGCTGTGGACAGAGCAGCCCAACCAGGGACTCATGTCCATACTTTTACATGGCCAAGACAAACAGGAAGGAATGTGTTAACTCTTCTTCCCACTGACTAGCCCAAGCCTGGGTTTTTGCATTCAGGGACTTTGTCCTTTAGCATTAATAATATCATTAATGAACAAAGTGGGAATTAGAACACCACTTTCTTACAGAAAGAAAATACCTGGAAGCACCATGATCTTGAGTGTTTCAAACCACCATGGAATGGATGGAAGACCTGGATGAAATTTTTGATGCAGTCTGCTCTAGTTCCTAAAGTGCTGCCTGTATCAAAAGCTTTTGTGGGTTCCCTAAGGGCATGGCAAGGGTCTAAGCATAGTTCTACAAGGTCTAAGCAAGTGTTGAGAACTGATGAAGCAGAATGGCTGGACTGGAAGGTAGATCCATATGTCTCAGCAGTTTGTATCTGTAGCTTTGCAAAAGTTGGCTGAATAACAAGTATCCAATGGAAGGTTACAAAATGGTGAGGTACAGAGAGCAAGCGACCCACAAGGAGCTGCTGAGGAAACTGGGCTTGTTTAGCCTGGCAAGGAGGGAGGTAAGGAGTGATTTCATAGCAGCTTAAAAGTTCTTGATGGGAAGTTACAAGATGATAGAGCCAAACTCTTCTCAGTAGTGGCAGATGTTATAACAAGGAGCAACAACATAAATCCAGCTTAGGAGGTTGATGTTGGACATTAGGAGAACCTTTTTCACTAGGAGAGCAGGACAGCACTGGAGCAGGCTACACAAGGAGGTGCCAGAACCTCCTTCCTTGGAAGCTTTCAAGATGCAGCAAGGCAAAGCTGTGGCCAACCTGATTTAGCATTGGGGATAGTCCTGCCTCACATAGGAAGTTGATTCAAAGACTTCTAGGGATCCTTTCCAGCCAATATTTGTGTGATTCTGCAAAACCCTTAGCCTTGGGCACGACTAAAAGTCTGTACTGAAAAATCTTTGTTTAAATTTCATTCCTGGCTTCCAATAGACAATAGACCAATAAATAACAGACCATGGTAGAATAATGAAGTGGGGGGAATATCACTGAGCATATCGCATGGGTTACGTGAACCATCAAAACTGGGCATTTACAACTAGGGGCCTTCGAGAACACATAGCTGGGCATCACCCCTTTTGCTTATTGGACTCTGGTCCACCTGTTATGACAACACACTGAATGCAAGCTAAAGAGATTACATGTGGATAAGACCCCAAATGGGGATCCACTGGAATGGAATAGCTGTCTGACCATATAATCCTCCTTTTTTTTCTTCTTTATTTCTAGGATTCAAGCTAAAATCCCAGGTGCTAAGAGAAAGGCAGAGTAAAGCAAACTTCAAGAATTCATCAACTACAGTAGTGAATAACAGGGGGAATCTGGAGTGAAACAGCTCTGTTCTTACACTTTACTGCAAATTTATCGTTCTTTTTTTTCTTGACACCATAATCTTAGAAACATAAAACTCGGAAGCAGTGCTTTTCCCCTGCTGCTTCTGCACTTAGAATATTTGCAATCACTTGTGTCAAGCACTAAAGTATAGTAAAGAGAAAAGTGTACTAGATGTGTTTTTTTGTGTTGCTTATAAAGTGCATGATGGTGAGAGCCTAAATAATATTGACCTTTTTTATTTTATTTTTTTAGTGTTTTTCCTTCTTCTATTGGCATTGCTTCTATAACTTTTAATGTTACATGTGGCTAGGGGCTTTCCTGCTTAGCGCACTGACGCAATAGTTAAAATTGCTTCTACGTCACTGGGTTGCTGGTTGGATTCATCTTTATTAACTATATAGAATTGTAGACTGATGTTTTAGTGTTTTCCAGCACAAATAAAATAAACAGTAATCGGTACTTATGGTAATCAGTTTTGTATAACTCAAAAAAATGAAAACAAAACCCAGTACTTTTGTCGTAAGGGATTGACAGGCTGATTTACATGTATGGTAACTGGAAAGTTCCAGCATGTTAAATTTATTACAATTTGTATTACATTCTCTGTAGTTCCTAATGGACTTAATTATGGACTCTGAATATTTGCACTTATGTACTTGATACCGAATGCAGAAATAAATGTTACTAAATGTAAAAAGTTCTCCCTCTTGTTGCCACTGGGATTATCCTGACATGTGGAAACTAGACACATACTGTGCAAAAAGAAGATTTTCTCTCTCTCTCCTCCCCGAGATGCACACACACTTTGCCCTTACAAAATCATGCAGTCCGACGAGATGATCTGTAGTACGTAGCTCATCTGGCAGGTTCACATCTTGATGAGTACAGAAATAAAAGAAAGAGTATGTGGATCCAACAGGTTAATTTTGAAAATAAGCACATTTAATGTCCCATCCCACTGGTCCCATAAATGTGTTCTTCCCAAGCACCACCAATGCAGTTCTATCCCAGACTGGCCTTTTGCAATGCCAAACGCTAAGCAGGATTTCAAGGCTACACCTCTTGTATACCTGGAAAGCAAACAAAATAAACCTTCTGACAGAGTCCAAATATTCTTAAGAGCCTAAATCAATAGAGACCAAGAACCCATTCTTGTCTCCTCCAGCAACACCCTCTCTCAAAACCCACAGCCATCCACTCCAGGCCCTCATTGCCCTGACACACACCTCTCTAACCTATACCCTTCTCTTCTCTCTTTTCTCACACCTGACCTTTCCACCCCAGCTCCCAGACTCCTTGCAGCCAGCCTCATTTTCCATATATTTGGCAGTAACAGCCTGCAAGTGGGCAAGTGTTGCTGAGCAGTTGGGGTGGGTTAATCTTGTGTGTGGAACTGAGTTGGAAGACCATGCTGCTGTGTACCAGAAGCAGAGGACTTTAGCCAGGGCTTGGATTGCTTGTGCTGCCCATGGCCACCATCACCTTACTGGGATCACAGCAGCATTTTCCGTGATACCTTTGTACATGGAAATTTGGAAAAAGCCATCATGCCCAAAGCTCCCATGAGCCTTATTTGCAAACCTCTGCTAACTCATGGTCCTGCTATACAACTTGCAATGACAGAGCCCTTGTGCATATAGGGAGTGAAAGCTTCTGATGACCTTACTCTTCCCTGGTAAGTCTCATTCCACTATGGGGAGGGGTTATACCTCCATCTTTTTTGGTTTTCAAACAAGTGAGGGAAAAGAACAACTCTGAGCTCTATGTTTTAAAATATTTTAGTGTGATTACAGTAGAAAGCTGAAGGTACCACAATGACTCACACTCACAGGCTGAGCTGTGTTCTGAGGTACACAGGCTGTAAAGCCCTTTTGTTTCTGATCTTCATTTGCATTCATAGTGAAGAGCAGCTGTAGACAGGCTTGGCTAGTAAAAGTTGTAAATTTATGAGGGTTTCTAGGCAGGTGAAAGCTGGGGAGCAGCTCACACTGCCTGGGTAAAATTGGGGTGGTGGTGAGCTTTAAACCATTGTTGTCTCTTCAATATGTTCCTTTCCATATGAACCTGGACATCGCACCAAATGACTAGTGCTTCAGGAGTCATATTGCCCCCCTGTTGTCTCCAAAGGCTGTTTTAACAAGATATGCAAGAGTATGGATGTTTTGAAGACCCGTCTAACCAAGTGAGGTTGTTCAGGTGGTTGTAATTAGGTGTGTGCTAAATACCTTGCCCAAGCAATGTCTTTCAGCCTCTGTCTTGTTTGAGATGCTGATGCTCCCTTTCTGGAGAAGAAGCTGAGAGGTTTCTAAAGTGGATGTCTCAGCTGGGAGGATTGTTTAGATGCAAGGACGGGTCTGGATCAGGCTTTTCCATGGCTGGGAACTGGCTGGCTAATGTAAAGAAGACAGCTGTGTTTTGATCTGCTCAACATGGTGCTGCCTTTCAAGGAAGATAACAGGTCTACCTGCTGTGCTTACCTTTGAAAGCCAGCCCAAATGACTGTGCTACTTTGAACTGAAACCAGCTGAACTCTGTCTTGGGGACATGAAATCAGGAGTGGCGTGCTAGTGGGATAAAAATTTTGTTACAATATCTACATGTACAAATGTGTCTCTTTTAGGCTCTATGACTTTAAAATATCTTCTCCATGGTTTTACCTGTACCTTCCAGAAACATTATAAGCCAGCTCCTAAACTGCTGCCTGTTAAGGAGAGGTTCAATAGTTACTGAAGAGCTCTGTCAGTGCTGTATGTATGTCACTTGAATATCTGTCTGTGTACCTTGAAATGAATACTCCATTGGTAGTTTGATGTGAAATGTGAATACTCTCTAACATTGTTGGGTTTGATTCTCTGCTTCTTGGTGCCTCAGCAGTATCCCACTCTTCCTCTAGCCTATGTATTTGCCCTGAGCTTACTGATCTCTTTTATGCTTCCTCTGCTCTTTAACATTAAGCCAGTGAGAGTAGGATCATAAAACACATCAGTGTCAGGAAAGCCTTGGATTTGGAAGGAGATAAGAATGATATAATATTCTATGAGCAGCTAATCCAATTAAAGAGAGTATGTCTTCTTCCCTGTAGCTTTTGCTATCCCCCTGCACGCTTTCAGATGGCAGCTGGCTCCCATCCCTGTCCTGGTGGGTTACAAGTCAGTCAACTGTAAGCTTATCAGCCTTTCCTTCTCCATATGGGCCCAGGGAAATATGTGGCGAGCCCATGTGTTCGCCCAGTGCAGCTTTGCAAACACCAAGTGTGATGTATTTCTTCCTGGCTCTTCTTAATACATTCTTTTCTTAGGCACAGAATTAAAAGATGCTCCAGCAGTGAACTTGCATGCGAGCTTCCCGGGAAGCCAGGCATCAGTGGAGTGAGGCTGCTGGCATGAAGGAGCCTGGTAAGACTGGCTGGCACATGCAGCCACTGCGGGACATATGGTATTTGGATAAGGGTGAGACATATCCACTGATAAAAGAGCCAATAGCTGCACTGCCTGAAAACAGAAGGAGGAATTGTTTCTATGCATTTCTGCCAGGCTTTCTTGCTGCTCAGCACCTTTACAGGAGAGACTGGCAAACCCCTGCACTCCGCCACGGTAGGGGAGAGATACTGAGGGTGGATGATCCTTCTCCACAGGTACCTGTGGAAATGGGAGGCGACTGTAAGTAGGTACATGGGATTGACCTGCTTCTCTTCATTTCCTTGTCTTTGGTGTTTGCTCGTAAGCGAACAGTCAGCTCACCGTCTGCTAGTGCTCTCCTCAGGTCAGCATCTAATCCAATTGACTGCAGGCTAGCAAGTCAGCTGCCTGTGACTTGCCACTTCTACAACTCTACTTTCTTCTTTGTGTAGGTAGCTGTTATTGGGGGAGGATGAGCTCTGTAGAGCCAGAAAGGGCACCTGAGCCCCCTGAACCTGCTGCAAGCCCAGCTATCTTCACCGCCTCTGTAGCTCCCCTAGAAAGAGTGCTAATTCTACAAGTATGCCAGATTTATAATCCAGAGGACATGACTGTGTGTGCAAGACAAGGTAAAGTTACATGGGCAGGCAAGTGTGTGGGTAGACTTGTTCTGTGTACTGCTCTGGCAAGCCCCCATTGACTGGGATGTGCCCATCTCTGCATTGCCCATGTTCTCATTTTCTCTTTCACTCCTGTTCTGCCTCAGCCAAAATGCCGGGTGATGCTGAAGGGACCTGGATCAAACTAAGAGGATGGGATAGATCTGCAGGAGTCTATCTAAGAAAACCAAAAGGCAAAGTAGCCCTGTGCTGTCATGCTTTCACTGCTTGTCCCTCCCATCTGTCCCTTAACTACCATGTCAGACTCCTTTCTCATGTTCACTGAATATCAAAGTGATTCAGCCTCAAGGTTGCAATTGATGCCTCCTCATGGCTCTTTTTGTTTAAGATGAAAAAATAATTCAGTCCAGTGAAGCTAATTGTCATTCACAGTAAGGCCCCTCTGCATATATTTCCCTTTATGAGGGAGCTGTAAAAGAGGATATAAGTTACATTTTTACTTCTTTTGTATAGCTCTCTAATTTAACTAAAGTGATGTAAAGTAGCCCAGACCAGTCAAAAAAATGTCTATAATGTTTTATAGACGTGACAAAAAAAACCACCCCCAAAACCCAACAAAAAACCACCATCAAAAAAACCCATCCCGGCAGTGGAGTGACTTGAATAGCAGATATCTTTACACAAAATATCCTTCATTTGCCAAGTTAGACATGAGGCCTAATTTCATTTCTCCTAATTTCACAGTTGCTTGCTTAGAGAAACCACCATCCACACAATTATTTGCATGTTACACTGAGTGAAAAAGTATCACCTTCAGCACAGGCTAAATGTGATCACTGAACAATTACCAGCAGAACATCAGCTTAACTTGTCAGTTATCAGAAAATTTGCAGCACTGAATTAGGAAGCCGTGGGGCTGTAACCTTCTGAGGTTACAGAGGAAGCACCTCTTTTATTCCTTCTAGTCAGAAATTTTGAAGTCCTGGAAAGCTTTCTCAGCTCTCTCTCTCTACTTGAAAACTAGACAATTTACAACTTTCTCAGCTGAAATATAGAGCTGTGATGAACTACAGAAAGCCAAACTATCAAAAAGTATACTCCAATTTTTCACGTCAGCTTAAAAAAAAACAACTTAAGGAGTATAAAATTCTGATAGTAGTATTGTCACTTTTGAACACCAGATTTTCAGAAATAAGATTAAATTTTAATTCTGACATCAGGATAAAATTAAGAATCTCTCTTAGTCTCAAGTATTTTATCTCGCCCACTTTCCCAACAGCAATCACAAGTCTATGACTCACATACTATACCAATAGTGCAAATTAAAAGAAAACATGGTTTCTACTGCCATTTAGCCAAAGGTACTCCTACAGCTCTCCAGTCACAAGAGACTTGAGTAAGTCTAGAGTGAAATGCTGTGGTCTCTGTTATGCAGGATGAACTATGGTATCGTAACTTAAGTTTTGCAAAAGAAATCAGACAGAGAAGCTGCTGTAGAGTCATGTACCTGGAGTCTCTGATATGGTGCCATGAGAGAAATTATGAGTGAACCAGATAAAACTTTGATTAATAGAAGATTTTAAGGAGATCTTCAGGAGCAGATGATAATTGGTAGCATTAAAAGGAGAGGTCAGTACTGAAGTTTCCCAAATGTCAGTCATATTTCAACTTTTCAAACATAAAATGAAAATAAATAAAATACCCCAGATGCAGAGGATGCTAATGAGCTTTGCTAAAGATACAAAGTGGTGAAGTATCGGAAG